ATTTCTCTCTAATCCAATTATCATTATCAGCAATTACCTACCTAAAGCCTGATTATATTACTTCCCATCTCAGAATATTTATTAGTCCCATTTACTATGCCACGGAATCCCTCAATCCATCTTAACCTCACACTGCTTCTCCAAACGCACCATTTTCCCACACCCTGGCCAACCTGCCACTACTAAACAGATTTGCTTTTTCTTGATTACATCCTTGCTCACACTGTTCTTCCCACTGGAAGCACATTCTACCCAGCATGGCCCTGCCTTCCACATTACCAAATTTCTAAAGGATTTCTAAAGGGCATGTCTTTATTTATTCCTCACCACACCTTTTATTTTGTAAATGTGCTTTGCTGTCAGACAGCAAAAAGATGTAAAGTGCCCACAGGACAGCAGTTGTTTAGCAGTGTTTCCCCTCTATGTATGAGGAAATGATGGATCCCTTGGGAATAAAATTACTTAGACCTGATAAACACTGTGCCACGTTCAGCCTAAGATACAGCATTCAGGATGTGCTATTACATCTGTCCTGGGCTTGGGCACCAAATATGACAAAGAAGCTACAAGCAGGGTCGTTGCTGGTTCTCCCTAGGTCTCACAACCTGAGATAGACAACCACAGGGCAGGAAGAGGTGGAGGGGCTCACACCAAACCACAAACACATACTGATTTCCAGCTGCCGCTGGATTCGCCCTTTGCTGCGTTCACGGAAATCCACCTGAGCCTCGTTGTATTTGGTCATCACCTCCACAAATTTCCGGGAGAGGACAGAATGCTGTGGGAACAATGTAAAATGCAGTAAGCCCCAGGAGGTGGGGGAGGGGGAAAGTTCATAACTGATATAGAGCACTTCCCCCATCCCACATAGTCTAGTCCACAGCAGCACTGGTCTTGGAATCAAAAGACCAGGTGTAAGATGATGGTGTTCTAGCTTTGTGCCATTGGGGTAGTCCACTGCCCTTTCCAAAGCATGGTATCAGTATCTGTTTACCTGCCCTGCTGGCCTCATATGGTAAGGTAATTGTGAGGCCAAAGGAGATAATTCTGTGAATCTGAACCCTGCACCACAAGGACTAATAGCATTTTTCTGGCACAACCCTTGGCTCACTTTCAAAAGCTGTCAGACTCCACTCCCACATGTAATACCTGCCAATCCTTGAGTTCTTACCCTAACTGATCTCCCCAATTTTTCTTGCTTACAACTAGATGTATTCTTTCAACAGCCCTGGATGCCTAAGCTTGAACCTTCATAATAATTCTTATTCCTTGCCCACCTCTCAGCATAAAGCCCTACTGGTTTCTTCTCTGCAGAATCACTAATATTTATACTTTTTCCAAACCTACTACACCATCATACAAATTCAGAGCAAAATCTTTGCAAAAACCTACCTAGGGACCTACCAGCCTCTCGCCTATTCCCCACTCATATCCAGCTTTCAAATAGCCACCAGAACATCCTCCTAATACATTGCAGCCTGAAGCAAATGCTTACAGGCTACTAGACCAGATCCTAATTCCCTAGACAGGTATTTAAAGACCTCTGGAATCTGGCTCTATATCATCTACCTACCAAAAAATACAGCACCCTCTATCCCACAACAATCTTTTTTCTCCAAATAGGCTGTTCTCTTCATATCTGCCCTTCACTGTGGAATATACTAAAAAGCATATGTACTTCACAGGGCCTGGTTTTCCAAAGCCNACTTTGCAGACAATGAAAAATAGCTACCAGTTTTACAAAAAGAAGCCAAGATGTAGTGAAAGTTGGCCCTGTTACTTCTCTTTAAGACTAAGTTTCTTTATTTGTAAAATGTGCATAATACTGTCTCCTAAAGCTATTGTGAGCATTCAATGATATGTGTATAAGGTATTTAGTATACCTTATACACATATCATTGTATAATGTTATAGCTAACATTTTTGAGTATTGAGTTGTGGCAGATCATCCAAGATCCAACCAGTCAGCCACAAACAAAACTCTACAGACCCAAATCCCAATTCAAAGCTTCATTTACATTGAAAAGGATATGGAAAGCAAAGTCCAATGGCCATGAAAGCCAGTAAGAATTCAAAAGACAGACTCTTAGATCCAAGACATAGATTGTACCCAACTTAGGGGCATGCTTCCTTGGTAAAGGGAGTTAAAGTGGGGAGCACAGGATCAGAACACCAGGAGACCTGACCCACGTACTGCAGCCAGAACCTGAGAATAGAATTTTAGGGTGATGGAAGAATCCACAGGCTACCCAAAGTATTAGAAAGCTCAGTGTGTCTAAGGACAGTCATAGAGAAAAGAAGTGGAATTTGAAATTCGAGGCCAATTTCCTCATGAAGAGCCAGTCCAGAGTCCCCAAGAACCATCATTTACTTACATTTCAGTGCAGCAGCCTCTCAGGCCACTCTTATTTCAGCCCAACAGCAAGTCCAATAATCAACGCTAAAATGCCCAGCAACACAACTACTACCACAATGATAATTATCAATTTCTGGAGAGAGGAATAAGACAAACAAAAACAAATCATTATTACAAACAACCAAAAAAATAATAACTCATCTAAAACCCAACCCCTTTCACCTCTATATAGAAAGCATCTTATTGATCCAAATAAGATGACTCCATCTCTATATTAAGACATACTTTTCAGATATTTTACATTTCTTAAATTACTTCTTGGCCAGCAATGCCAGCAGATGGAAATATGGAGCTTCTATCAGCTCTCAGCTCACACTGCAGTCCTGACAGACATAACAGAGCCACTATCTTGGAGCTCCACAGAGCAACTGGCCAAGTAACTAATTCTTCCTTTTCAAAAAAGGAAAAATTCAATAAAGTGACCAATTTTTCCTTTTCAAGAGAGAGTGCAAAGACATTTTTGACACAGTGCTAATTTCCAACTCTGTCCATCTGTCCCCTAAAGTACACTCCTACCTGTCAGACCCGATACAGTGATTGGGGCATCAAAAAGTATGACCCAGCCTGGATTCATCATGTAAAATAACTTCCCAGCTCCCTAAAACCTTGCATAAGCAATAGGTAAAGTTCGAAGAAAAAAACAGAACTGAAGAACAAAAATATCAGAGCCCAAGAGAAACAGTCAAAGAAGAGCAGTCTAAAAGGCAGAAGCCATCAGAGCTGCATACCCACAGTCAGTGAGTAGAGAAGCTCAGAAGTCCTCAAGCAAGGGTGGGTAAAGTCAATGGAGCACCAGAAGCGTGGGTAAAGTCAATGGTGTAGTAGAAAGAGCACGACTGGCATCTGAATTTGACCCACAGTCAGTGAGTAGAGAAGCTCAGAAGTCCTCAAGCAAGGGTGGGTAAAGTCAATGGTGTAGTAGAAAGAGCACGACTGGCATCTGAATTTGAATCCCAGCTCCTCTGCTTACTAGGTGGCCTGAAGCCAATTACTTAACCTCTGACCCTACACTGACTCATCTACAAAGTAGAAATAATAGCTACTCCCTAAGATACGAGATAATATTTACAAAGCAGTTAGCACAGTGCTTGGTACAAGGTAGAGGAAAAGGCAGGGGGCAGGCAGGGGCAGGGCTTGGCCTACTGGAGTGGAAGTCAACGAAGAGTGTTTCTGAAGAACAAAGGAGTCAAGAGATGTTCATGAGCTGTACCCAGGAGAAGACTAGCAGAACACCTGCGCCATATGTCCGCCCTACAGAACTGCCTTTCAAGTGTGGGTTCTTGGGTAGAGATCACGTGAGCCAGATCCATGCAAGGCACATCTGGGAAGGAAGGACGGGCAGCTAGTCTCTAGGAGGGGCTGAGGTAGGGGTTTGGATGAGGCCAGGACAGGGAGGAAAGGCATGGGCTCAAGGACACAGCAGAGATGACGAGAGAGAAGAAGCCAGTAAGACCAGCTGACACGAAGGTGCTCACCCTCCGGGCTTCACTCTGATACTTGACAGCCTTTTTGGTATCTGTCACAGCCCTCTCCACGAAGCCCACTGACTGGTCCATGTTGTTCTCAATACGGTCAATCATGGCTCCCTTTCCCCGGATGCAAGAGGTGGTGGCAGTGGAAATAGAGATAGGGAAAGAGAAGAGAAAAAGGGCAAGAGACAGCGTACAAAATGGACTCTCTTCTCTGAAGGCAACAGGAGAGTCTCACCTTCCGGGCCTGACCCTGGTATTTCACGGCTCTTTTGGTTTCATCTCGTGCCTTCTCCACATGGTCCACTGTGTGCATGACATTCAACTCTATATTATCTAACATCTCACCCTGCAAAGAACAGACACTAGTCACACCCAAGAACAGTCCTAGCTAATGTGGGGAAGGGATTCTCCTCTAATAATCTTCAGTGCTAAGAGGAGCATCCAGAAATCTTGAAGGAAAGCCTTCTACCAGGCACACTTTCACATTTTCCATGTGATTACTTGTGACTTCCCAGTCCTTTGTGGTGGCCACTCATTCAAGAAACATTCATTGAAGTACTTCTCTGTGACTGGCTCTGTGTTGGGCATCTGGAGCACACTGTCTAAATGCCTGGTAACTACATATAAATATACTCAGAGGTATCCCCCTTCCCACCTTTTCATGTTTTTACTTAAGCACATGGGGAGGAACCAAAATAAGAATATCTCATGTTATTAGGGCATCACCAGGATGCTGGCCTCTTCCTGGTCATTCAGACCTGAACCAAGTTTATTCAGCCTGAACTGAGTTTGTTCACTACTATAGAATAATTCCTGGCACACAGTAGGTGCTCAGTAAGTATCTAAGGTTGGAAACATTTGCTTTCTTTAAGAAATATTCCCAGGCACCTTAATGACAGACTCTGGGTTTACCCAAGCTATTTGGGTATATCTTCCCCTCCGGACAGTGTCTCTTAATAAGATTCCCAACCATTTTCTAGCTATTACTTCCTGACAGGGAAGTTTATTCACTCCAATTAACTCCTACACATCTTAGGATGGGAATTCCCCTTACCTACCCAGAACTTCCTCAACAAACCCCATCACTTTATGGCAGTCTATAAACAGAGCAAGGCACTTACCATCACTTGAATTTCAATCCAGTTCCTCGGCAAGGCAGTGTGGGGGGAGAAAAGAAGAGTGGGGTGGAGGGACTTGAGGAATGGTCTCAAAGGCCAGAAAGGGTTGGGGGAAAGGCACTAGGCCCTGAGCAAGGAGCTAATGTCAGAAAACAGTCAAGCAGTGCTCAGTCTTCAAATAGGTTTTACAATCTGTCTACTAAGGAAGCAGTTTTCAGTCCTATCCAGGTGGCAGAGCAGGTGGAAGTTCATGTAATATAGCACAGCACTATGACACTGTGGCATATTTAACTATCATAAGAACTAGGAACCATCTGGCTATGTGAAACTAACACTACATGCAGGCAGTATAGAATTCCATCCCTGAGCAAGTATGCCTGGGGACAAAGCAAGCTGCCAACTAAGCACCATAAGTGTTGCAAGTTTTTCTGTAAATATTATTTTACTATTCCTTCATTCCTGTTGTCTACTACTGTTCCTTAGCAAAGAGTGCCAAGATTTTTAGAAACACACAGAAGAAAAACAAAAATGGAAAAAAATTAAAACCTCTGTTAAACCTAAGTTTTCACCGTGAACTAGAGAAAAGATCAAATGTTTTCAATGTCATCAATGAAACAGTTCATATCAGGTAACTGTTTTAAGGCATCATCATTATAAGTCCATATCTTTTTTTAAAAAAAAGAAGAAAAGATTGATACTGAGCCTGGGGTGAGAGGAGGATACCAGATACTTGACAGAGCAGATCACACCATGTTATGAACTAGAAATGACTATGAGGCCAAAGTAATAGGCAAGAATGACAAGGCTGAGATTGCCCAAAGTGTCAGCTTTGATACGAAGGCATGTCTCCCTGGGATACTGGCATTCTGTTATTCCATCATGCAGATTCCCCGTGATCCTCCCACCCAGCTCAGCTGGCCTCCAGTATTCCCTTCCTCACTGTTCTCAGGAAACCCTGAGCTTCCCTCTCTTGCTGCTCCCTGTGACTCACTGCCAGTTACCTGATTCTCCACCAGCATGGCAATGTCCATAAACATGTCGTGAAGCTCCTTGATGCTGCTCTCCAGCCTCACAATGTCCTTATGCCGTCCCTCAATCTCACTGAGGGCTTGTTTGGAAATCTGGGAGTCAATGATCTACAACAGACCACACACCCAGGCCATCAGCCATCCTGTAATAGAGGCCGCCCCTGCCGCACACAGCCTCACATGCTCCCGCGGATCTTCTTGCCTCCCCCGCCCCAACCTGCTAGACCAGGCAAAACTCCTCAGCAGCCTCCCTTCTCACGAGAGGGCCGTGCTGTCCCAGCACCCAAGTCCTCACCCCAGAAGTGAAGATGGCAGGGTTGCCACTCTCTAACATCTCCTCCAGTTCCTCGTCCGTTGTCTTTTTGCCAGCTTTATAACAAAAGTAGAGCATCAAATATAAAATCAAAGCACAACATCATTTGAAAAGTTCCTTGAAAAGTAGGAATATGGTGACTTCACTATAAGGACCATGGCCTTTACAACACTCCCCTGATAGCCTCCTGACTTATCTTTCCTATTTCTCTCTAATCCAATTATCATTATCAGCAATTACCTACCTAAAGCCTGATTATATTACTTCCCATCTCAGAATATTTATTAGTCCCATTTACTATGCCACGGAATCCCTCAATCCATCTTGATAGCCTCCTGACTTATCTTTCCTATTTCTCTCTAATCCAATTATCATTATCAGCAATTACTTACCTAAAGCCTGATTACATTACTTCCCATCTCAGAATATTTATTAGTCCCATTTACTATGCCACGGAATCCCTCAATCCATCTAAACCTCACACTGCTTCTCCAAACGCACCATTTTCCCACACCCTGGCCAACCTGCCACTACTAAACAGATTTGCTTTTTCTTGATTACGTCCTTGCTCACACTGTTCTTCCCACTGGAAGCACATTCTACCCAGCAGGGCCCTGCCTTCCACATTACCAAATTTCTAAAGGATTTCTAAAGGGCATGTCTTTATTTATTCCTCACCATACCTTTTATTTTATAAATGTGCTTTGCTGTCAGACAGCAAAAAGATGTAAAGTGCCCACAGGACAGCAGTTGTTTAGCAGTGTTTCCCCTCTATGTATGAGGAAATGTTGGATCCCTTGGGAATAACATTACTTAGACCTGATAAACACTGTGCCACGTTCAGCCTAAGATACAGCATTCAGGATGTGCTATTACATCTGTCCTGGGCTTGGGCACCAAATATGACAAAGAAGCTACAAGCAGGGTCGTTGCTGGTTCTCCCTAGGTCTCAACCTGAGATAGACAACCACAGGGCAGGAAGAGGTGGAGGGGCTCACACCAAACCACAAACACATACTGATTTCCAGCTGCCGCTGGATTCGCCCTTTGCTGCGTTCACGGAAATCCACCTGAGCCTCGTTGTATTTGGTCATCACCTCCACAAATTTCCGGGAGAGGACAGAATGCTGTGGGAACAATGTAAAATGCAGTAAGCCCCAGGAGGTGGGGGAGGGGGAAAGTTCATAACTGATATAGAGCACTTCCCCCATCCCACATAGTCTAGTCCACAGCAGCACTGGTCTTGGAATCAAAAGACCAGGTGTAAGATGATGGTGTTCTAGCTTTGTGCCATTGGGGTAGTCCACTGCCCTTTCCAAAGCATGGTATCAGTATCTGTTTACCTGCCCTGCTGGCCTCATATGGTAAGGTAATTGTGAGGCCAAAGGAGATAATTCTGTGAATCTGAACCCTGCACCACAAGGACTAATAGCATTTTTCTGGCACAACCCTTGGCTCACTTTCAAAAGCTGTCAGACTCCACTCCCACATGTAATACCTGCCAATCCTTGAGTTCTTACCCTAACTGATCTCCCCAATTTTTCTTGCTTACAACTATGCTGGCTCAAGGACAGACTAGTTACTGATTGTTATGTAAAGATACTGAGAAATTGCTATAGGAAGGAATGTTTGCTAAGATCAAACTTGTTGATAGGACCGCTTAATTGCCTTACTGGAATGTCACCTGGCTTATTTCACTGAAAGTTACCAGCCTATATTGTTAAACTATAACCCCACCTTTGTTCTCTTCCTGTAACTTCCTGGTCTGGAAAATAAATGCAGGAAGAGAACCCCATTCGGCATTAATTTCCCAAGGAAGGGATGGCTCTTACTTGAGCATTCCCAAAGGGAGATTAACCACTTTGGGGCCTCTCACTGTTCAGTAGATATTGGCTTTGAGTAATCCTTTGCATCTCCATCACCCAGGGGAAGTGGGGTGACAAATCCATGGGGGGCGAAGCAACACAAAGCAACAAATTGGTGCCCTGTGGTTAATTTCCCAAGGAAGGGATGACTCTCGCTTGAGCATCCCAAAGGGAGATTAACCACTTCGGGGCCTCTCACTGCTCAGAAGAGATGGGCTTTGAGTAATCCTTTCATCTCCGTCACCCAAGGGAAGTGGAGTAACAAATCCGTGGGGGGCAAAGCAACACTTCACTCCCACCCCATCATCACTATCACCACCACCACTGCTTACCATACACACACACAAATGCTCAGAAGAGATGGGCTTTGAGTAATCCTTTCATCTCCGTCACCCAGGGGAAGTGGAGTAACAAATCCGTGGGGGGCAAAGCAACACTTCACTCCCACCCCATCATCACTATCACCACCACCACTGCTTACCACACACACACATACACACATACAAACATGCACACATGCCACACTTCTGCCCCCATGCTTCTTTGAGAGGAGAAACTGTACTTCCTGAGTCTGTCCATGTTGGTACTCTTGACCATCCAAGGCCCAGGCTCCTCTGGCTCCCCCAACTTCTTCCTGAGATCTTTCAATGCTGAGAGCACCATGCATTTGATTATGTCTTCTTACACTCTTCTCCTGCTGGGTCTTAAGTAATAGTTTCCTATGCTACTTGAATGCCATGCTAGTTCTTTAAGGACAAGGATCATATCTTTGATGACCTCCAAAGTGCCTAGTTCCAAATTGGACAACTAAAGCCTAACAAGCTTTGAAGAGAAGAAAGACATCAACTGTGTCGCCTATAAAAGAAGGAACCACACTAAATCTTGAGCTGTGCTCTGGGGAGCCTCAGGAATTTCCTCAGGGGCCTTATTAGAGAAAGGAAGTATGAAAGAGGAGCCCAAAGGGCTGGACTTGACCCTTACTTCAACCTGGATGGTTCCCCTTTACCAGTTCTTCAAACTGAGTTCTAAATAAGAATATTATTTTAAAAATAAAAATTAGAAAAAAATAGACTCCACAGCTAAGAAAAAAAAGTTAAAAGACTGAACTAGATGATCATCAGACCAGGGGAAGTGTTACCTGGGATTTTCGAATCCGAAGGTCTGCAGAAGACCGGACGTCATCTTCTTCAATATGCCTCTCCATGCCTGGAGAGGAGAGGAAGGTTATTTTTGCAACACATCTGCTCTTCCTTCCACATAACACACTGTCCAGTACAAACCTTCTCACTTATCCCCACACACCCAGCCCCTGGAGATGTTAACAACAGGTGGGTGCGATCTCAGAGGATCATCTCACAGGGCAGCCACCGGACGTGCATTCCACAGCCTAGACTGTTACTAGATCTCAACATAATGGTTGACTACGTGGGTCTTGGCTCAAACCCTTGCCCTGCCACTTCCTAGTTGTGTGACTTTGGGAAAGCCACTTAACCTCTCTTAATGTTCCTGTTCTCTCATCTGTAAAACAGAATAAATAACAGTACCTCTTTCACAATATTGATGTGAGGATTAAATGAAGTGCTTAGCACAGTGGCAAGCACACTATTACTGTGATTAGTGGATGCTGCAACTAATAATCTCCCTCCATCTCAATGAAAACAGGCATTGCAATTTGTTTTTTGGGAAGAAATGATAAGTTGGGTTGAGCAATGCTGCTTCTAGTCTCTGACCAACAGCATGCATTCACCAAATACACCGGGCACGAATGCAGACAAGCCATGGAACTACATAAACCTTTTGGGCCCCGAGGAGTAGTGAATGATGAACCACGCTCTGAAGTGTGTATGTGTTGGGTGGGGGAATGCAACAGGAAGGTGATATACCTAGCCCACCTAGCAATGTCTGTAGACTGAATAATATAACTTGCATCTATGTATCTCTAAAATTACTATTCTTATGTATGTAGGTACTGGAAAAAGAGAACAAGTTAGAGAAAAGTTGAGGGACCAAGTCACAAAATCACTCAGTAGCTGAAAGTACATTTTAATTCTCATCGCCTAACTTCAATTCTGGACTCTTGCACTACAGTCAGGATTCAAGAAAAGGTAGATTTCTGGAGCTACAAGAGGTCATTCCAGGGACAGTGCCCAAACCACAAGCAAAGATGGAACAAGTGGTGTCACTTTCATCCAGATGAGTTTCAGTTCAGAAGATTTGGACCCTGAGGGGGGTGAGACAGATGGTGGTGGGGACTGGCTTGCTCCATTCTTACTCTTCAGTTTGTTCCGGACATTGTTGGCCCTTTTCTTGATCTCAGTCGTGAGCTGCTCTAGGTCTTCCTTGGTTTCTGGGTAAACAACGACAGGTAGAATTGGTCAGAAAAAAAGAACACTAACTGCTTTGTGAGCTACAACAATCAAAAGAGGAGGAGCTTACTCAAGCACCCAATGGCCAAAGCAGTATTTATCCCAATGTGCTCCCCAGAACCTGTCATTAGAATTGCAGAGAGCTTATTTTTAAAAGGCATTTTCCAGACACTGCATCCCAGACCTAGAGAATAAAAATACCCAGGGTTGGAGCCCTAGAATCTGCCTTTTAAACAAGTCTTCCCAAGTAATTCTTCCCCATGCAAAATGTTGAGAAACTTGCTTTTAGAGGAAACAATCTCACTTCAGCTTAGAAGGTAGAAGAGGGTTCTGTGGGACTTCTGAGGAAAAGAGATTTCAAGCAAGGCTCATCAACTTAGAATGAAGTTTATGATATACCAACTGCATGCCCAAAGCTGTTCTACTGCTCATACATATATGGAGCAAAATAAGTATCAGCTACAACCATCTACTCAAAAACCATCCTCCAGCACCTACTACCAGCTTGGAACTGAGCTAGAAACTTAGGAATCAGAGAGAAGATACAGATTCTGCCTTCAAGGTGTTCAGAGTCTAATGGGGGACAGGGAGAAATAAATCAGCAGTTCTAATGCACAGTGTGGAGTGCAGTACAAGTTCTGGTCATGATGTGCACAGGGAGGTTACAAAGGGCCCCCAAGCATAGCCTGGAAGGATCTGGAAAAGCTTCTAAAACCAGAGACAGTGAGACTGAGCCTCAAAGAAGAACTAAGCGTTAAGCAGGTAGGGAAGGAGACTTAACAGCTCAGGGAGAAGCAACAATATGTAAAAGGTATGAGGCAACAAGGCGTTAAGCAGGTAGGGAAGGAGACTTAACAGCTCAGGGAGAAGCAACAATATGTAAAAGGTCTGAGGCAACAAGAATTTGGGGAAAAGCCAGAGTTTTGTCTGGCTAAAGTATAAGCAGCAAGGGGAGAAGG